CAGGTAGGTACCTGGTGCAATTTTCCCACTAGTTTTAAATGTCTACCCGCAACGATTCAGGAAAATCATGGGGTGATTCCTTGAGAGGAAGCTATTTTTTATTGTAGTGTGGGAATGAGAGAAGTCAAACTGGAAGCTTTCATCCATCAATACTATCGCTGAAGCACTATCTGAAGGCGGCTCTTCTGTTCGAAAGAGGAAACCGGAAGGTTTTCTTGGTTTTTTTCCCCAAATCATCTCACAGCTATCACATCAAATGAACCCCACTTCCGTCTTCAAGCCCACTTTTAGGAAGAAAATTTCACGAGAGCAAATAAGATTCCGGAAGTGACAAGTGATCTCCATGCAAGTGTTTCTATGGAAAACGCTTTTATGGGAAATATACGAAGTAATGGGCGAAGGTGGTGTAGTGGCTAGCGGTGCACTACCGCACATGCATGTGCATTGGTTTGAGCCTCGGATCGATATCCACCTACAACCAAGATCTCCATCCCTCCTGGGTTGGTTAATTGGTACTATATTTGTTTGGGAGAGGAAAAAGACTGACCTGTGCAGTGCTCTTGCTCTCCTAGACGAGGGGCGGGAAGGGCGCTTCCCTCAGACAAAATAGATTGACGGCAAAATCTTTATTTTCTCTTTATACCATTGTGTTGGCATAATGCTAATTGTAAGATCAAAAAGATGTACGGATTCAAAGGAAGCGATAACGGGACCTAGGCAAGCATGAAATTAGGAATGAGATGTCGGTTTTGGAAAAGTCGTTCGAGAAAATGAGCGTATGGGACAGAGCGTTCCTTTCAAGAAAATGAGCATTCGATGCACCGTATTCTACAGAGAATGGAATGTTCGGTAGTCCGATAAACCCTCACATGGGCTCAACAGGAGGAATTGCAATGTCTACTCAAGTAGCAGATGTAAACGTATTTCAAGTAGAAATTACTGAGGCGAGGTTTTTCGTATCATCACCTCTTTCAAAGCATCAGTTTGTACTGCAGAGCATGAAGGGAAATTTAGCCGTTTAGCTGACCTCAGAGTGATTTCACCGATCATCGGGGGAAGGAGCGAGGGGCGGGGAATTGAAGGCACATTTCACGATAATTTTCAAACATCTAATTTAGGCAAACAGTGAAAGTGAGTGTTCAGAATAGTGCAGAATAAGGCGAAGAGAACGCGTATTCAGAGCGCCATATGGCTTCAAAAAAGTAGTAGAATCAGGGCTGGACCAGAATGTGACGACAAAAATTGCATGGGAGGAATATTGGAACGAATGCCCAACCGTTTGTGCCATCGCCTATAGCTAGCTACAGTACGCTGCCTGCCTGCAACGTGTAGGTCTCAGTGCGAATGGTGTAACCTCTATAGCCTCTACAGCGTCGTTATAACTCGTCCATTTTGGCTGTGTAAATGGACTAACCCGGTTTTTTATACTCTTATTACACTCTTCTGGGTCGTTTCTCGACCGACCTCAGCTTGTGCTAACCTCGGAACTTACAGGTGTATTCTAGAGAGAAATAATAAGAACCATTTCTATTTCTATGAGCTGCGCTTTTAACTAAACCTACTCGATCCACATTTCTCAAGGAATCAAGTAAACAGGCTCGGTCCACTTTTCTGGACATAATATACTGAGGATCAAATAACAGTGACCAGCACATTTTCTTAATAACACTTCCGCAATGAAAACTACCGTTTGAAAAAACGGGAGGAGCCGTTTGAAAAACCTTTTTCTGAAGCTTTTTTGCTCGAATAGTAGTTTTTTGGGAGAATGGAGCAAGATGGATTCACTAGTTTTGTTCCTACATCATGTTTGTACCTGAATAAGTACGCCTTTTTTACAATCCTCCCTAGGAAAACTTGGCCTCATATAGTTTCATGAAAAACAGAAAAGATATTCGTTTGAATTTCATTGTTCGGTGGATCAGCAACAGACGGCGTCAAAGAGACGACGAGCCTTACTGCTTCATTTATGCGCTAGCACCGTCCTTTCGATGCGNCCCCCCCCCCCCCCTAAGAAAAACACCGCAGGCACTGGTAAGACCAATTTCACTCTAAAATGGCATGCTGTATGAAATCAAAAGGATAAATCAGGAAAGTCTGGCCCCTTGGCATAGCTAGTCAATGTGACGTCGGCTTGCGAAAAAAAGGGGATGTTGGGGTACCGTATAGCTTATTCATATTACTGTTCTTGAGAAACACGCCGGAGGATGCCACCTCATCAGGACAGGACTCCTAACAGTCATTCACATCCGCCATGTCATTCACACCGTTACCCGCCGAACCCGCGCTCTGCGACCAAATTGACTTCATTGACCCCCTCTTCGTAATATTTGTTACTGCTACCGTTGCTTGCTGACAGTAATAGTGTGGGATCCAAGAGAGTGATCCTTCACAATAACTCTTTCAGTTTACATAACAACCGACTATCATGTCGCTTTCCTTGCTCCGTGCTGAAACCTGAACAGAAACAGCTAGATCTAGTTCTTGAACGTCAAATCAAAGGGATATGTCTCTGGGGAACTGCAGAAAAATGCCGATCACGGTGACTTTTTGCTAGTTGAACGTAACCGCTAATCCTCACTCATGTACAACCCTCACTTGGTGCGCTTGCATGCTGGTTCAAAGGCTCTGTTTCATACTTTCTATTAGCGTTGGAATTAGGAATTACCGAGAGACACTCCTAAAAATACAGTCCAAAATGAGGCTGAAGTAAATGCATATTTTAAGGAAAATAAATTAGTAATCGTAACAAATAGCCACCCTTCAGCATGTAGACATCCACAAGACTTTGAGCAACTCTATTAGAAAGCGACTTGAAGACAGATTCCAACAACGATATGAGTATGTATAGACTAGGATCAGTGAAGCAGTAACAAGAAACTCAAGTGGGTCTGAACGAAGCCTCTCGTAAAAGGCATTTTCGTATTCGGGTTTGTTGGTCGTTGGTCAGAGCTATCGCGAAATTCTTCGATGAACCAAAGGTGAGAAACGGAAATGTAATAAGAGTATCACCATTGAAACCATTCGTTCGCAGTCTAGGGAGAGAAATTAATTCGATCTTAGCGATAAGGCAATCTACGCATTATTGTTTATGGCCATGGCATCAAAGATTATACAATTTCCGATTCCTTTTATTTGATAATATGTTACATATGTGTATAAATATTATATATGTATGTTCGTGGACAGGTCACGAAGTACTAGTCAGTCAGTCAAGTTTGTACTTAAACTGGTTACCACGATTGGGTGCCTATAAAAGAAACCGGGCAATAACAGGGTATTACGATCGTGAGGAAGGCGAAAGGGGAGGGAATAAGAAGGGGGGGGGGGGGGGCGGAAAGGAGAGCGAGGCGATGTAGATAAAGACTCAGAAGGAATCGATGCTAGCCAAAGGATGAGATGACTTCTGAAGCAACCCTTTGCCATAAGGTAATTAATGTAATCTCACTTTGTCACCCTCGTAAAAAACCTAGATAGCCTACATTTATTGCTACTCGTTGGGGTGTTGACATCGCATGGTAAACACCTTTCATTCATGAGAACTAGGCAGCAGCTGGAGTTTCAAACAGGCAAAGCCTCAAATTGATTTGTCCCCACATCTATTCGCCTCTGTGTATTTTCTTTCGTAACTTGACTACGGAGGTCCGGGAATTCTTCCAGAAGAGGAAGGTAGTCAAGTTCAACTAACAGTCGAACTGCTTTATCAATCAACTTGATGCTCATTCATCCTTCCATTTGCCCACAAAAACGCCCCCATCGTGCAGCCACAGTAATTCTATGACGTGTCGAAGACCCGCTTGAAGATTTATTCAAAGCAACCTTTTTAATATTCAGTAGATATGAGGGTTTTCGCAAAAGAGAGCGGTCTTTGACAGTTTAGGGTAGTCAGCAAAAGCAGCGCTATCAGTTTATTAAAATGACGTCTTGATTGTAATTGAATCCGCTTAATCTATCGAAGACCAGGTGCACAACAAGACGACGGAGTGGCGTAGGGAATGAGATACAGGTGAAAGAAAGCATTTACCATTACATTGGTAAATGCTCTGATGGTGAGACGAGGGTCGCCATTGTCGACGCTCTGCTCGATCACTTCCTTCACTACTGCACATAAAACATTATTTTTACCAATAAACTCCTTTCACAAAACTTTTGGGGCACTCGGATGGATGACAATGCAGTCAAGAGAAAAGCGGCGCGCTCAAAAAAGACACATTCACTCCTGCTCGTAAAATCTGATAAACGAGCCGTAGCAAAAGCTTCCCGAAGACGCTCAAACTTCAAATACTTCATATTCAGTGGTGTGGGGAAAAGAATGGTTCGAGAAGATTGATAACTTATCATATATTTGAGTCCTATTATGTGATCTCGAAAAGATGATAGAAGGAGACATCAGTATCGAGTGGAGGCGCTACCATACGTGAGCAATGATGGGAAATGCTCTTGCTTCATTTTCACTGGATTCATAGTATTCCTCTTTCCAAAACGCGGCGTTTCAAACTGGAAAAAATGCAGGAGACCTCATAGGAGTACTGGTGATAGGTGGTAATGTTGACTGATAAGAAGTGATAAAACAGATACATAAAAAAGCATGAAACACTGGGTCTTCTGTGATATCTCACGCCTTCGTAATATCGGTGCAATAGGGCGCATCCATACGGTGTAATGACTGCAACGAAGTCTCAGATTAAAGTAGACAATAGTAACAACTGATAATTGCCAATAAGGGAGCTGAGTAATCTGATGGAGTTCGGTGGATTGCCCGATCTCCCTGGAAGTGGCCTTTGCTACGAGTGTTCAGAGACTGGGCCCGAAAGCGTAATACGTAGGTAGTTTTGATTTCGCTTTTTCTACAAACAGAACGCTTAGAGAGTTTAATGAGTGTGGGTACCTATCCCTGGAAATCGCGTGCAGTCGCCCGCTCTACAAGAGTATTTGGATTCTCCGGTAGAGGAATACGGTAATCATTGCGGAACCACTGCGGCTTGCCGTGAGAATTCGGGGAGAAATACCGCCTCTCAGTTCAATGTTGCGCGAGGGCGAACTTGAAGGATAGAAAGATAAAGTCGTTGGGCAATAAGTAATCGACAAAGGTATTATACTCTAAATCAGTTATACTTATGATGGCGAGTCAAAAAGTGATCGCCATGGGGAGATATAATGGATGAGAAATGTAATTTTCCGAAAATGTGGACGACATTTCCATGTTCGTTCTAAACTGGCAGCGGCAAATAGTAAAGGTAATAGGATCGAGACGTTGGTGGGTAAGAAATGTCTGAAAGTACTGATGACAGTAGTGGGAGTCCGTTCGGATGAGCATCTACTCTTACCCTGCTATCAACGTCGAATCCTGAACACCTTCGAATTGGAGGGATGTTTTACAGTGATACGTAAACAACATTGACGAACTTTATTTGGGGTATCCCCTACAGGATGCTGCGGTTGCTTTCTGATAGCTGATAAAAGTATATGAAATTGAATACTTACAAGTAATCGATATCGACCAATCGGTATAGATTGATATTGACCTGTTGATCATCGTAGAATCATAACTCACCTCTCTTCCAACGTAATTTGCCGGCCTTGGAGAAGCTCGTATGACTGAAGTTTGCTTCAGAATTAATGAGAAAAACGGAACGAAAAAATCAGTGAAAAGATATACAGTGTGTTGTGCTAAAAGCCCGACGATACAGTAACAATGACTGGAAATGAATTGCGAAATATTAAATTTCTTGGCGGCAAAGGCTGAGTGCGATTGGAATCACAGAGACCAAACCGACCAGCCAGGGGCCAGCCGAGCATCCTATTTTGACTTGTATAATCAAATTTTGTAAAAGGAAATTACTTTGTTATTGAACCGATGTGAGGAAGTGTTTCATAATCTTCTATGAGGGGGAGAGAAGGGTCCAGGAAGCTTATCATGTTCGCAGGACAGTTTCGCTGAAGTAAGTCCACAATCTGATTCTCCGCGTTTTTTTGCCCGAATTTGCAGCGCTAGGCCAAGGACTAAGTGGTCTTGCTCAATATGGTTCTCAGTATTCATCCAATAGTGGGGATAATCACTGATTACTTGCTGAATATCTATTTGATTCTAAAAGAAAATAAGGATCATCTCAGCTCGCAGCCGTCTTTCCTAGCCGCACAATGGTTTCCTGGAACTTACCCTAGTTGCGTTAGTGTACCCAGTGCTTCCAGAGAGCGCTGGAACAATGAGTGGAAAGCAAAATATGATTGTATAAGAAACGAATATCAGGTTAATCATGATCTCTCGATAGAGTAATGATCACTGAAGAGTAGTAGTTTAACTGCCTTCGTTCGTTTCAATTTCAGCGACCATTTTGCTTTCGCTTGTTTGCTCTTACTTAGAGTAACAACTACTCATTTGACTGCAACTTGGCTCAAAACCGCAACGGATTTCTTGGTACCTGCGCTATGGGATTGTCATATTTATCCGGCTTGTCGTCGTCATTCGCAGCTTGAAGATCACAGCTTCTTCCATGCCGTCGATCCAACGGATTACCAACTACAGAACTGAAATCATGACAATTTCAGTGATACTATAAAGTCATCAAAAAGAGTAAAGCTAAAGCCCATAAATCCAATACACAAGCGTATTCCTTGAAAAGGAGTTGGAAACAAGAAACAGCGAGTGTTCCGCATTTCACAATTATTGTCCTACTGTCTTTACTGTGACCAGACAAAGTACATATCATTATACATATAGTCACGTCCAATTGCTAATTTTTACCATACACTAAGCACCTCAAGGGCAGTCGAGGGAACAGTTATATAACATAGTATCCTTGTAAAGTTAAATTGTGAAAAATCAAAATATTCCATCAAAGTTTACTGTTGAATTTGTATTTTTCGGGTTATGCACTCCTAATTCGTCCTTTATTTTTAATTCTCTTTCACTTTTTAGTAAACGTTGACAGGTAGCTGAACACTGGAACTTAATAATTTTTGCCCGAAAGTTACCAGTTTCGTGATAATTTTTTTTTACAAACAATTATAATCTGCCGATCAGCATAGTACTCGAAATGTAGTGATCGTTCAGGAATCATTAGTTGGGCGAATCTCACCCGCTTGAAGGCACAGCTCACGATAAAAATGGTTTCTAAGATTCCTCCACAGGATGGATTTTAG